CACACCAGCTCCTGGACCGCAGTCTGAGGAGGAGGGCAGGACCCTGTAGCAAAGGAGGTGAGGAGTGTATGTGGGTGAAATGCCAGGGAGGGAGTGATGGAAGCTTGGGAAGACTGGGGCTACTGCCATTTGAAGGACACGTGGCTACGCACGCATGGCCGGGTGTGTTCTAGGGGACAGGCCCTGTGGAGGGATGTCGCTCCTGGCATGCTGAGTTGGGGGAAAGTGGGGCGTGGCTTCTGCGTGCTAGGGGGTGTGACCAAGCCCTGGACCTCGCCCCATGTGGCCCTGACCCCCAGACACCCTTGTGTTGTTCCCAGGCACCATAGCAGAGCTGGAACCACAGCCCACGAGGCGCGAGCATGCAGAGGCATTGCTGCTGGCCTCCTGCTACCTGCCGCCTGGCTTCCTTTCGGCGCCCGGGCAGCGCGTGGGTATGCTAGCCGAGGCAGCGCGCACGCTCGAGAAGCTCGGTGACCACCGGCTGCTGCAGGACTGCCAGCAGATGCTCATGCGTCTGGGCGGTGGGACCACTGTCACCTCCAGCTAGACCACCTCCTAAGGCCGTCTGTCCCAGTGCCTGTGTCTCTAGCTGCCCCATTTCAGCCTGCCCCCCAAGCTGGAGCTTCAATGGCCGAAGGCAGCGCCAGAGATGCTGGTGTCCGCGTTTCACTCATGGACTGCTCTGCCTCGGAAGTGGAGTATGGGAGACCCGCGGGGACTTTTGTCTCGATCTGGGAGGTCACACGGGCAGCGCGACCACAACCCCAGGCCCCCCCCACCCCCCACCTATTGAGCGCCAGCCAAGATGGTGCTGACCTCTGGTGGCAGATTGGGGGATTGCAGAGGCCAGCCCAGTTGGGTGTCCCTTCCTTTCCTGGCAGGCACCCTGTGGCTTTCCCCCTCTCGGGTCTAGAGGGTGGAGAGGGCTACATTTCACTGAATTGGGGGGACTCAACTTGGCTTTCCAGGTCATAAGGAGGCCCGGCCTCACGGCGCCTCTCTCCCTTTCAGGGACACTTGTACATAGTTTAGATGAGGGTGCGCCAGCCTCTTCGCTTCTGAGGCTCACGTGCTACTTTGCATTTTGCAAACTTTATTTTCATAGGTTGAGAAGTTTTGTACAGAGAATAAAAAATGAAATTATTTATAATCTGGGTTTTGTTCCTTTGGGGAGAAGGGTCTGTGCTTCAATAGATGTACATACCTACTGGAGGTTCCTTTGGGTCTTCCCTTCCACCCGGCACCCCGGCAAAGGCTTCCTACCCCATCCACCATATAGCACAAAATTTCCTCTTGGTGTCCTGGGAGACCTGGAGATGACCTCCAGCCGACCTGGATCCCACTGATTCCTAGGCTGTTTCAATCTCTAACCCTTAAGGTCATTATGGTCTCATGTCCTTTCATGTTGCTCACGTTGCTCAACTTATACCCAGATCAGCTTCCAGCCTAACATGGCAGAACCGGTGTCCCCACGCATCAGCGGTGACAGGAGCTACAACCTTAAGTATGGGATGTCAGTCTAATGTCCCCATCCACTGTCCCCTCACACCCGAGAAAGCCTGTACCCCCATCATGACCTGAGACCCAAAGGGGCTTATATTTCCTGTTCCCGAAGAACCCCTGACTCCAATTTTTGTCCTCCCACCCCGTTCCCCCTCCTCCCACCCCTCCAATCTAGAGCCTGGCCCTCTCACAGCAGAATCTGCTCAGAATCCACAGGCTGCAGACTTCCAAAACAATCGTTGTATCTTTATTGACTTTTTTTTTTCTGAATGCAATGACTGTTTTTTACTCTTAAGGAAAATAAACATCTTTTAGAAACAGCTCGATACACACAATCTTCAGTGTGAAGCAATATACTAATAAGAACACTAGTCGTCTTAACATTTACAGTCTTCATATATATTATATATATGTATATGTATACATATATATACACTATATAACGAGGCCAGATATAATACACACGTTTACCATTTTACAGTCATATGTACAAGTAGTTGCTAGGGCGGCCCCGGTCTGGGGGCTGCGTCAGGCCTATTGAAGCGTGGACAGAGCTGAGGACGCAGACGGACAGGCGGACGAACTGGCAGGGACTGGCCTGGGCCGGTGGTGACTGCGCGGGGCCAAGGCATCACGGCAGCCCCTTCCCTGGCAAGGGCCCTGTGCTGAGGGGAGCACGACGCACGGCGGCGACACACGGGAGAAGCGAGCATGTTCCCAACATATATACATTCTATGTAACATATATATAGAGGGGTACACAGGTTTGTACACGAATCTAGCGCTGTCTCTGCTCGCGTGCCCGGCGGTCTCTGGAGACGGGTGGTCGGGCAGAGGGACGCTCGCGAATCCGCCGGAGGTGCGCTCTGGCCGCGACTCGTTACTGATGCGCTCCCGGGCTGGGCTCCAGGGATGGCGTGGCGGACTGGAAGGGGACGAACAGAAGCCAAGGGGGTGCCCCAGTCCTGCCCACACCCCGGGAGCCCGCACCCCCTGAGCAGGGGCCGCAGACACAGCCGCCAGCCCGCGGCTCTGCCGGAGTCCCGCGACAGTTTTGGCCAGGGCTCGGGGCAAGGGCGCTTCCATGCGTTCCCAACGGTGCGTTCCGAAGCCCACGGCCCCCTCCCCCGCGGGCCTGGCCCACTCCAGAAAGGCTTCGGCGCCTCCCCGCCCCCCTCCGCCCGTCTAAGGGCCAGGAGCCGCCCTTGGCCTCTTCCAGGGCCCTTTGGACCCCTAACCGTACCCCCGGGGTGTCCAGCTGCAAGCCCAGCCGACGGGGTGCGGCAGCGCGCGCGTGGAATGTATGCCACGTCGTCTCGGGACTTCCAGGGGGGCAGCGTCTCCAGGCTCAGGGCGTCCCCCACCCCCGCTGGCGCCCGGACGCCCCAGGAGTCTGGCCGCTCCGGGGCTCCCCGTCTCCAGCCTGGCCCGGGGGCGAGAGCAAGAACGCCCGGTCGCGTCCGGCTGCGGGGGCAGGCGGCTCCGGAACGCGTTTTCTTCCCAACCCGGACCGCCCGTTTCCGCCCGAAGCGGCCAGATCCAAGATCCGGGGTCCGGATCAAGGATCGGCCCTGGACCCGCGCGGGAGCAGCCCAAAGGCCCGGGGGCCGCGCCGGCTCCTCTCCTTCGTGGCAAGCGGGCTCCGGCGGCGTCTCGGGCCGCTGCGGTGAATTACAACGGCAGCCTCTGCAAGAGAAAAGGAACCGCCCGACTGCCGGTTACTGTTACTTGGAGGGGCACGAGCTCCCGGGGCAAACTCCACTCAGACCCGCCCGCCGCAGGCCCTGCCCGCGCGACCCCACACCCGAGGGGCCGGCACCTAAGGGGTCGGGATCTCGCTGCTTTCTTGTAAGCCTCACCCACCCTGCCCTACCTGGGACGGCCTCCTGCAGGCCTGCCTGGTTTATCAGCCGCCCTCCCAAAGCCGGCTCTCTAACCGCCTGTAATTTGGTCGCTGCGGCTGTGGCTTGGTGGTGGTGGGCACCGGCAGGTGGGGCCTGGCCTCCTCGGGTGGGGTCCACAGGGCTGGGGGCAGCAAAGGCGGAGGGCCTCCTTTCCAGCCTGTAACCCCTCCAGGGAAGGTTTGTGGTCACCTACCTTATGTTTGGGACACTTCAAAGAAAAGTTCTCTTCAGTGAATAAGCAACCTGTAACCAGAGAGAGGTTTGGGTGGTTACCTGCCAGCTGCTGGCATCTGGGGGGGTGGGGGGGACCGCGGTGGCTCTGCTACCCATGAGGCCCTATACCAAGGGTGTATCAGACTACTCAGATCCTCCACAACCCACAGAGAACGCCTGCCCCTCCAGCCCCACTGGCCTAATCTGTTCCTCTCTCACCTCCTTCCCAGTGACACCTTCTTGCCCACTGTCCAGCTATCGCAGACCCCACGCGCCCTGCCCAGTTATGCCTGGCCACACTTGTCACACCTACGAGTGGTCTCGGCCCACTGGCAAGCATGCTCAGTGCACAGCTTTGCCTTCCTCCCCAGATGAGTGGCCAGCCCCTAGAAGAGGCTTTGAGGCCCGGTGGGAGCTCACGAAGGACACGTTGACCAACTGGGTAGTGCGGTCACACGGCAGGATTTGAGTGTCAGCCTTGGAGTCCACAACTGTGGACGGGGCATTATGCTGTGGCGGAGGTGAATGAGGAGAGAGGATATGAAACACCCCGGTGCAGGGCTTACAGAGGCGCTCTGGATGCGGGTTCCTGTGGGGGCCAGCTGGGAGGCAGACTTGATCCTTGATTGTTGGAGCAGGGCATGGGAAGCTGAGGTCTCAGGTCTGAGGATTCCCAGCAGGTATGAGGGCCGAGGGCACCGCCCACTTTGGGCAAGCAGAGGGCATGGCTGAGCTCAGCCAGCCCCCATCCTCCTTAGCCCGCAGGTGTGCTGATGTCTCAGGGAGCCCCCAGCCTCCTGCCTGCTGCCACCTAGGAAAACCCTGGCTTTCCCCTGGAGTCTTCTCCCACCACTTTCACGTCCCCTTCTGAGCTCATCTCCCTCCCTCCCTAACTTCTTGGCCAAGTTTTGCACAAACCACAGACGCACCAAGAGCCAGAGGCATGCATGGGCTGAGTGAGCCCTCGCCTCCCAGCACATTCCTCCTGCTCATGTGGCGGCCACGGTGGTGGCACCATGACTGTGCGGGCCCTTGGGTGAAGCGGGGAGGCAGGGCAGACTCGCAGCCCTAAGAGCAGAGCTGGGAAGGCTCCTGCTTCTCTGAAACTGTCTCTGCCCAACCCCTGACCCAAGCTGGTGGGTTTCAGACAGAAACCTGATGCTGAGTTTCTACACTGCAGGGCCAGCAGCTGGAGGTGGGTCAGCTGTTTCCCCTTCTTTTCCCTCAGGCAAGCGCTGCTCTGAGACTGAATTCACGCCTTCCTTTCCGAAGAAGTTGGGCTAAAACCCCAGGCTCATCTGGCTACATACAGGGCACCCCCCAGCACATGCCAAGGGATGAGCTCCCCCATCCCCCCCCCCCCCCCCCCCCCCGCGCATGCCCTATAGTCCAGGGCTCGGGCACCAGGAAGTGAAGGGTAGGAGGATGCTGCTTCCCAAACCAGATTGCCCTGCACCCCCCAGCATGCGCGCCACAGGGAACCCATCCGGAAGAGCCAGATCATCAATTTCTGGCCCTTTTCATGGTATCTGCACTTGGGGAACCTGGGACTTATCTGACAAGGACCCTGTCAGCAATTCCAAGTCATGGCTTAGCTCCAACATGGTGCTTCCTAATAGTGTGGGGGGGGAGGGGCAGGGTTTTGGGTCAGGGCAGCCAGAAGGGCAGAGGCAGGCAGCGCTGACGCCCTGTGATCTGAGAGCCTGAACCGGACACCTGGAGTGCGCTGCCCCGCCTGCACTTAGCAGCCCAGGGAGTCGGAGAGGTGCAGGGCTGACAAAGTCCCCAGGGCTCAGGCCCTCTGTTCCTGCTCGCTCCCAGCCCCTCCTGGCTGACAAAGGCCAGGGATGTAGGGTCCTCCCTTACCCTCTGACTGTCAGGCTCTCTTTTTCCCACCTTTTCGGGCTGTTCTTCAGGTATGCGGGGGTCCACCCCCTCTTCCTCTTCCACTGACAAGTGGTGGTAACTGCTTCCTGCTACACTATCCCCCCAGGATTCTGATGACCCCTAAAAGTTGATAGTTGGTGAGTCTCTGTCCTGGGCTCAGTGGAACAGCTCCCCTCTAGATTAAAAGCACAGCCAGTCCAAGCTGGTGCGTGTAGTGGGCAGATTGCCAACACAGTCCCAAGGCCTGACCCTAGTCTTGTCCTTTGCAGTATGATTTGGAGTGCCTCCCAGAGGAGAGGTGGGTGCCCATCCCACCTTGTGAATCTGGACTGGATCTGGCACTTGCTTTGGCCTGCAGAATGTGGCAAAAGAGATTGTGGTGCTGGAGGGTGAGATCCATGGAACAGAGGGGAGCTGGCCTGCCTAAGATCCCCAAGTCGTCCTGCTTCAGCTGACCCAATAACTGATCATCACTGCCTCGGTGAGCTCAGCAGAGGCCAGCCAAGCCCACAGAGATCAGTGGAGGCTGCCATTGGCCACACCCTCATCAGAAATAAATGCAGCCTGTAGGCCCCCTTCCTGCCACCGTCCCCAGGGTTCTGCAGAGATCCCTATTATATGGGTACTCCTTCAAACATTTCACTTGAAACAAAATTTCTATTACTCCAAGCCTGGTATATTTGTCCCAATACTAGCCAGCTGCTGCCCACCTTCCCGACCTTTCAAGGCCTGGCTCAAATATCACCTCCTCTTGGAAGTTCTCCTGGATTCCCTCTCGGTCAGACAGGATGACTCACCCACAGCACCCACTCTCTCCTCTTTGTCTGGTCTCCGTAACTTTAGGCAGGGATGATGGTTTTCCTGTCTGTCCCACTCAAATGCGAGCCCACCAAGGGGCTGGACAGTACTGAGGTAGGAGAAAGAACACAGGACGCAGAGCAAGACAGACAGGGAGTGCCGCCCTGGGTCTGTTCATGCCATGCAGTGTGGCCATGGGTGAGGCAGCCTATCTGTAAAGATGCAATTGGAGACAGTGCAGGGGCGTGACGCCGGGCCTGGCACAGAGTGGGTGCTAAATTAATCACTGTAGAAGGAGGGATGCAACTCGTGGTAGCTATTACTGGGAGTAAGGCCATGTGTCTGCTCAAGTGGCTGAGTCCACATTAAAATCTAGTTCACACGGCTCCCACAGTGGGAGGGTGGAGCCAGTGAGATCCCCCAAATCCTGCTCCAGCCAGCCCCTCCTTGCAGGGTGCCAGCACCTCAGCCTTCGCCAAGGAACTGTCATCACTCAGCGCCCTGTATGTTCTCCTGGGGGCAGCGTGGTTGGGCCTGATGCTGGCTCCAGACCAGGGCATTAGGAGTGGTCCTTTCTGCCCGGGACAGGGCCAGCAGGCATTAGTGGGGAGGGGGCAGTTGGTCCCCAGGCAATGGGAGGGTCCTGATGGAAGATGTGTCTGCTTTGTGGTCTGAGGCAGGATCAGAACTTCACTCCTTTTCCAGGTAAGGGGAGGGACGGAGAGAGGGAGGGGTCAAGGATAATGGGCAGAGGGAGGTAGATAGAGAACATGGGGGCTTGTCTTTCAAATAGGGCTGAGGCTGCATTTCATGGGCAGTGTTTATTATTTCACTCCCTGCTCTGAAAAGCAAAGATTATCACCCCCATTTTACAGATGGGAAAATCAAATGCAGAGAACATCAGTGGATTTTCCCAGGATGACATATTAAGAATACCACCAGGGTTTGAATTCAGGCCAAAACTGTCTCTAAATCCTCCTAAAATATTGTCTTCGGTGACTAAAATGCCACCATTAGTGATATCTTCCTTTGGTTGGAATAAGGGACGTCTCTGAATCTCAGTTTCCATACTTAATTGATGAAGTTTGGGGCTCCCTATCTCTCTGGTCCATGCAATTTGCCATGCTGAGTGCTTCGTGTTAGTAGGTGCTCAATGAAAGTCTATGAAACAAAAGAATGAGCGAGTGAGAGCAGGGAATGGGGGAGAGAGAACGCAGGGGGAATACGGTCCTGTCTCTAGACCTCAGGGCCCTGCTCAGAACTTTCTACAGCTCTTCCCTGTAGCCAGTAGAAGACAAGTGGGCATCAGTCCATCTTGAACCTCATCAACTCCCACCTCATTTGGTTTTTGTTACTGAAGGATATCCTTTCCCATTTTCTCTGCCCAGTGAACTCCTATTCAGTCTCCAAAGCCCCAGCCCCAGTACCTCTTCCTCTTTGAGGTTCAAGATCCTACCCACCCCCTAGCTCTGAGGTATTATAATGTGTGCCTCTGCGCATCCCTCCAGTGCATAACTGGGGACTCACTAGGCTCCATGATAATTGCTCAGCGTAGGTCCCAATGGAGAGAGATATGGAGAGATAAAGAATTGCTGGGGCAGGAGAGGTAGGAAGCTGAAGGGTCAAATGGGTCAGGGTTTGAAGAGCGGTGCCCAAGGTCCCCCTGGATTGCTCAGATGAGCCTCTGGGCCTTCCTGTCCCCTTGAGCTGGTTCTTACCCGCATCGATGGCACACGGGTAATGGTAGGTGTGGATGCATCCTTTGTGGCAGCACCCAATGGTGGCCCCAACTTCTTGGCAGCTGGCACACGTCTGGTGAGGAGAGAGGAACACTGGTGAGTTGGCAGCTGAGTCAGCCCTATTGGTCCCTGTCTCCTGCCTCCCAAATGGTCCCTGCAATTCAGGTGGGAGGAAGCTCTATATTGGCCAAATGCCACCATGTTGATTCTGTGGCAGCCCCTGAACCCTTCGTGCTGGGAAATGACTACCTCAGGGATGACTACCTCAAATCCCAGCTCTGCCACTCTACACTGTGTGACCTGAACCCAGCGACTCACATTCCCAGAGCCTCATGGGCACAACAGGGGAGGTGCCCGTGCCTCCCTTATGGAAGTGTGGGATGCTTCCATGAGAATACTGTGTGCCAGTGGAGGCCAGGCCTCACTGTGGCTGTGGCCAGTAGCTGGCATTCTTGAGGGCTCTCCATGGCACTTTGGGCACTGAATGCAGCTTTACCCATGGCTCCTCCCAACAGCCCCAGAGACTGGTACTTTCATAAACCCCACTTTGAAAGGGAGATGGAAGGGAGAGTCTCATTCCAGGAGAGAGTGAAGGCAGTAACTACTGGCTTCTAACCTTTCTGGCAGCTGAACAAGTACTGATCCTACAGGAATGGGTCCACACTGGATAGGCCAGCCCCAGGACGGAGCAGGCCACACAGCAGTCTGGAGATGCTGAGTTCATGTCAATCTTACGTCATCCAGGCCACTGAGCTCAGGGGCTGCTCCCTGCCTGGCTCAGCTGCTTAGAGGGGATGTGGATGCGGCCAGGTTAGGCCGGCAATGCCAAGAAGGCCCTTGGAAGAGTAAGCAAAACCTGAGGCCTGAGGAGAGACAGGTCAGGCCTCATGAGTGAGAAACCACACTGTGTGGGTGGAGGAGTGAGGTGCAGGAGGGAGAGGGTGGCAGGTCCATGCCCACATGCTAAGCCACTGAAACACAAAACAATAGCTTGCATGTGCCAGGCATGCTGGGAAGCCACCTCCTCGTGAGAACTTATGATGCTGGTCTCATTATCCTACCCAGTTTACTAATGACAGCTCAGAGAGTCTGCATTATCTGCCTGAGGGCACATGGCTCAGCAATGGCTGGGCTGGTACACAGGCTAGCAAGCGGACCCCATACTGCTGGGGTCCAGCGGCTGCATCCCAGCCCTCAGACCTGAGGGTGTCCCCACTCCCAGTAGCTGAGAGAGGCCAGGGACTAGAAAGCCTCCCTTCCTTCCTGGGCCTAGCCTGGAAAATACCTAGAAATGAATGTTCCCTCCAGTGTGGAGCTGGCAGTGGTGATGAGTGGGGGGGGGGGGGAGGAGGGGGCTGGGGTACAATCTGGAACAGCAGATTTTCACATGATGCCTCAGGGCAGCAGTTTCCTTCTGGTAGGACTGGGGCTTCCTGGGGCTCTGCGGCCCAATGTCAGGTCCACAAGGGCCTGCAGGAATTTTCATGGTTAAGGGGAAACAGTGAGGGGCCTCTGGCTGGCCCACAATGAGGATCCCCAATAACCCCCGAGGAAGGCATTTTACATGTGGAGAAATAGGTCCTCCGCGCCCGAGCACTCGCGCTCTGACCCCTGCTACTCCTATAGGGCTGCAACTTGTGAATCCACCAAAGGATCCCAGCCTGGTAGAGGCGCCCAAACTGGCACCCAGGCCGCCTCCTAATAACTGTCACAGCTGAACTCCCCTGCCTCAGCGTCCCATGCCAGGCCATATCTAGGTAGGAAATGGGCATCCACGTAGTTCTGAAGGAAGGGCGGACTGAAACTAAGGTCCCAGGAGCTGGGCACAGCACGACTCAGAGACAGCAGGCTGTGTAGGGGTGCCCAGGAGGAGATGTAAAAAAGAAGGTATCCCTAGGGGCTGGCACAGTTCTGTTCCTCCAGAGAGTGAAAGTGAGCATGGGGTACTCAACTGGGTGACAGGCCATCCACCATCCTGGGCAGTGCCAGCCTGACCATCTCTCCAGAGTGTTCTGTGCATCTGGCCTGCTCCTGCCCTCTGAGGTTGCCAGTCCCTGGCTCAGCCCAGGACCATCTCTCCAGCAGATCCTGCTTGGGGATCCCCAGGTGAGGAGAGGAGAGGCAGTCAATGAACAGCCACACCTGCTAGGGTGCCCTTCGCTGGGGATGCGGCCAGTGGTGGGAGGTTGCCAGGCCATATTTCAGCACGGCACAGTGGGCAGAGGTGGGCTGACTGAGTCGAGCTCCAGCAATTAACAGCCGTGTGACACCAGGAAAGCAGGGCACCCCCCTCTCCCCTGGTTTTCCTCTCAGTCCAACAGAACTTTGGTACAGGCCGCTGAGGTGAGACCTAGGCCCCCGAGACAGGGCAAGCAAGTGGGTTAGCCAAGGCCCGTTGCTGTCCTGTTGCACAGGGGACGTATTTCTGGGTGCAGTGTGCAGGGGACAGGAAAGAGTCCTGTCTGCTCCCCTCCCCACTGGAGCCAGGGCAGGGGGGAAGGCGGGTGTGCGTGGAGGGAGCTCTGAGCACACAGCAGAGGACATTTCTTTTGGGAGCATAACAGCAGACGGAGGTAGCAGCTGAGGATCTGAGGACTCATATTACTTTTTAATCACGGGGGCGAGCTGAACCTCTCTTAGGGCATCTGGGAAGGAGTCAGTGACAAGGGAGAGGAAAGCAGAGCTAGCAGGACAAAACAATTGTGAGGGGGAGAGGGGGAAGTTCCAGGACCCCTGGGGAGGATGGCTGCTGGCTGCAGGCTGGCAGGGGCACAGGGCAGCCCCAGGGCTTCTGCAGTCAGGCTGGAGGCTGTGGGCTAGACACCTGGGCTGGGGAGGCCAGTGCACAGGGAGGCACAAACAGCTCCCATCCACATCACGGTGGCCCCCACAGCTGGCCGTCCACACAGGGCAGGTCAGAGTGGCCAAGAGGGAACCTCAGGAGCAGGTGAGCTGGCAGCAGGGTGACTGAGGGCAAGACCCCTGTAATCCTTGAAGACAACAAATTGAAGGCCCAGAACTGGGGTGGCACTACATGTGCCAGGGACATCACTTCGAGGAAGACTGTGGATGCTTCGCAGTAGACCTGAGTATATAAGTGGGGGGCAGGAGTAGGGGCTCCTGGGAAAGACCTGAGCCGCACTGGCCTGGTCCTGACCCTTTTGCTGACCACCAGCAGGTGCGTGGGGCTCACTCCCACCCTCCGCACCGGCAGGAAGGATCTGAGGAGCAGGAGTCCAGGAGCGAGCCCAGTGGTGGTGGACAAGGCTCCCGCTGCTGTCTTGTCCCAGCACAGGACCTCGTGCACGTGGTGTGCTCGGCAGGGCCAGCTCGGCTCTGACGGCCTATGGGGCATGGGCTCACTCCAGCCTCCGGCCCTCAGCACTGGGAAATGAGAAAAGGGAGGCACAGAGTGGCAAAGTCCCTGCCCATGGCAGGGGTCTGAATCCAGAGGCCAGCCAAGACCTTGTCCCCAGACACTCAGTGACTGCAGCGTCTCTAACGTGTTAGAAAGGTTGTGGGCGTCTGCTGAGGGCCCTGCGGGCCAGCCTGTGGGAGGGAACACGTTGCAACCAAGTGTTTAAGAGGTTCTTCCCCTGAGCCCCAGCTCCAGCCCAGGCCAAAAAGGGGCCTACTGGGGAATGGGGGAGTTGGCAATCCGCCTTTGCAGACTGCCAGTTCTGGGGGCCCCATCATCCTCTGGGGCCTCAGCATCTGGGCAGATTACATAAGATGGGGCTGGGAGTGATTGGAGAGTTGGAGCTAGAAGGTGCCAAGTGAGCGTGTGGTGGGCAAGGATGTCCTACCTCAGCCTGGGGGTGTGCCTCCACCCCCACCCCCCAACTCCCTAGATACTGATTTGTGACTGTGAATATGTTTGGTCCCAACGCTGCAATGGAGAGATGAGGGGGGCTCCCCCACAGCCTGCCTGCCTGTCCTGTGGAATCTGAGCTCCCCGCCCCAGCTGGGCCGACTTCTTACCATGTCCATGGCCACTTTCATGGCCTCCTGCAGCCCAAAGAGCTTCCCGGCCACCAGGTAGACCCCGCCTGTCCACACAGCACAGGCCTCATGCACCCAGTGTTCCTGGGTGTCCCCGCCAGGCTCCACCGGTGCCTCCTTGCTGCATTCATGCTTGCGGCTTTTGTCAGCTGGGGCCACCTCCTCACCACCGTCCCCCCGACCATCACAGCAGTAGCAACTCTGTAGCCTCCGGGAAAGGCCCCGGGCACTGGTGCGCAGCGAACCCTGCTTGGCTGGGTCGGCCGGGCCATCAGGCCGGGGAGGCTTCCCAGGGGCAGCAGCCGTGCACTCAAGACCTTTGAGTGTTCTTTCGAGGGGCAGGGCGGCCTCCTCACAGGTGCCCTCCAGCCGCACCTTCTCCTTGAGTTTTGGCTTCTTTTTGGGGAGGCAGTGTTCAGGGTAGTAGGGCCCACAGAGGTCCCCAAGGTCCTTGAAGTTGGCCGGGTTTTGGCAGAGGCAGCAAACAAGGCAAGAGGTACTCAGGGCCTTGGAAACCACGGGCCCCAGATGCATGGTGGAGGAGAGGGGCAGGGAGGGCCGCGGCTGCAGGACAGAGCCTCCAGGGAGCGTGGCCAGGGAGGCCCCAGCCGCATCCAGAGAGGAGGAGGACGAGGACGAGGACGAGGAAGTGGAGGAGGAAGGCTTCCTGTGGGGCTTGGGCTCATCCCCAGGGGAGTTGACAACAGTGCATACGGTGGTGAACGCATCTCGCTTTTCCACCCTCACAAAGGGTGAGAAGGCAGGGGTGCGGCTGTCTGCCCGCAGCCGCTTGCATGAGGAAATGTACTTGAGGCGGATTTCAGGCTCTGCGGGATCTAGGGGCAGCACTTGCTGCTGCCTCCGCCGCTTGGCACGCCCTTTACAGGGTGAGGAGGAGGCGTTCTTGGCCCGGCCCCGAGTGAGGCGCTTCCGCTTGGAGTAGCTGCTATAGTTGGTGTGACCCTGTTGCTTCTGCGCCCTTGTCTGGGGCTGGCAGGGCTGACCCTCAGGGGGCTGGGAGGTCAGACCCAGTTCCTCCGTCTTTGGCTTTTTGCTGCCTCCACCAGAACTATCCTCACCGACCCCCTGTGTGCCGCCAGCCCTGTCTCGGGGAGTCAGGAGCAGAGCTGAGCCTAGATGGGGCCGCTTCTCCAGGGGGCCTTTCGGGAGTCCCAGGGCTCCAGCCCTGCCTTTCCGGCTTCTCTTCTTAGGGGCCAGGGCCATACCCCCAGGAGACAGGGTCTCGGGGGATGTGAAGGCCTCAGTTTTGAAACAGTCAGTGGAGGACAGTTTCTTACTGTTCATGAGTTTGCCTTTTAAGGATCTGTTGGTCGGATTTCTGCACAACGGGTCGACCCCTGAAGCTGCCGGGAGCTTCTGCCCAGCACCCATGTTTAAGAGACCTTCTTCTGCTCCCATCGGGCTGCTCCCAGCACTCTTGAGCCCACGGTCCTTCTCAGGGAGGGATGGGCTCAGAGGATTACCTGGCGGGGCCCCTGGCACTTTGCAGGCAAACTTCTTCAGGCTGGGCGAGGTGATCTTCTGCACGATGGCCTCCAGCTTCAGACCCCGGCCCTTCCGGGGCGGCAGCACCTTGGTCTTCATGGCCCCAGGGAAGGCCGCACGGGAGGCCAGCTTGAGGCAGGCGTCGGGCGTCTCAGAGGGCAGCGACTTTGTGGTGGGATCACCGTTGCCCTTGGCAGGCTTGGCCTTCTTGGGAGAAGACAGTCTCTTGAAGAGGGGCGGGGAGTCCTCGGCCCTCTCCTCCTTCACATCCCCCATGCTGCCGCCCACAATGCTGCTGCTCCGTAAGACCAGGCTCCGCTTCTTGGTGGGAACTGGAGCCATGAAGGCGGACTTCCTTTTGAGTGTGTGGAGGGGCCGATCAGAGAGCTTGCCACCTGCACCGGGCTTGGGGACCCTCACCCGCTGGCTGGCCCTCCCCTCCTTCTGAGGGCTGCCAGAGACCTTGAAAGCGGCGGGCAGGTGGTTGTTGGCCAGGAGTTTCTTGGCGGCACGGCAGTTAGGGAGCCGGCTCTCCGAGGGCCGCCTCCTCTTGGAGTGGAAGACCTCCTGGGTTTTGGTGCGGGACCGAAGGATCATCGAGCGCTGGTCTTTCCCAGGGGTGCCCGGAGAGTCTGTCTCCTTGGTCTTGGAGCCCATGGGGCTGCTGTCAGAGGCCACAGGCAAGGCGGCTGGGTTACTGGGGCTGGATGCAGCCTTGGGTGAGGGCTTCCCTACCCGCTTGCCCGACTTGAAGGCGGCTCGCTGCTTGCCCCCCAGTTTATCTGGGGGGGCGGGGGTGGTGGTCAAGCCTGGGGGACCTGGCGTGCGGGGCTCACTCAGGGCAGTGAAGGAGCGGGTGCACATCCTGGGAAGCCCTTCCGAGGCCCCCCGGCCCGGGGCCCCCGCCCCCTCCATTTGTCCCTGGGGAGGCCCTGTGCAGGATTCGGGGAGCAGGAGGTCTTTGGGCAGCGCCGGTGCCCTGCATGGGGAGTCCTCAGCCTCGGGCAGCCCCCGGTGCACCCGCCGGCTACGTAAACTTTTGCCACGTGGCACAGGTTCTTTCTTAGCAATGGGTGCCTCGGGCACAGCGGGCTTGTTCGGCTTCTGGGCCAGGGTGGCGTCAGGGGCCAGGGTGGCAGAATCCCCCGGAGCCAGGGTCCCATCGGGCCCTTCTTCCCCTGGCTTCATGTGGGACAGGGAGGATTCAAACCAGCTCTGTACCTTCGACTCAGCACCCACGGTGGGGCCCAGCAAGATGACAGACTCCCCGGAGAGGTGGCATGGGGAGCCCCAGCCAGCCTTGGGGTCCAGCACCTCCCCCACCTCCTCCTTGGTGCACATCAGCGGGGCCTTTGGTGACAGTGGGTCCTGCATGCTGGGCCTCTGCTCAGGGCTGCCCAGGAGCTCACACAGGGAGGAGTACTCCTCCTCCGCCTCCAGGTCCTCCTTCCTGCCCGTGGGCGGCAGCAGCGGGAGGTCCCCAAAGTCTGCAGAGCAGCAGTGCCGGCTGTCCTCCAGCCACCGGTCGGCCTTGCCCACCTCAGGGCACTGCAGCAGCCCGCCCGCCTCCTCCTTCACCCCGCCCGCCGCCTCCTGCTTGAAGTCCCGGGGCACAGCAGCCTTCTCCCCTGGGGGCTCCTCCTCCTGGAAGCCCAGGCAGGCTGAAGCTTCCTGGGCAGTCTCCTTACCGACACCATCCGAGGCCTGCCCGCCTGACTCCAGGCCCTTGGTGAGCTCGCCGGGGTGCAGCCCCCACCGGGGACAAGCATCCCCCAGGTTTTCCTCTGGCCAGGCAAAAGGGTTGGCACTGTCTGCTGAGCTGGCGGTGGTCGTGTCCGGGAAGCAGTCGAAAGCTGCTGCGGCAGGATCTGAGGCGGCAGCCCCCAGGGAGGGCTTGGTGCCGAAGGAGAGGGGACCAGCGGTCTTCTTGGGGTCGGGGGCGGCAAAGCCAACGGAAGGGTCTTCAAACAGCCCTGGGCTGAAGTCCTTGGCGTTGCCGCCCTTGTCCAGCTGCAAGGACTCGGGCAGGGCCTCCGGCTCCCCTGGTCGCGGCCATGCACTCTTGGCCACAGGGTCCAGGCAGGCGCTGTGGTTCTCCAGAGAGAAGGGGGGTTTGCTGGGGTCCTTGGCCAGGCCGGGCGCCTCAGCCCAGGCCTTGTCAGCTTTCTCGCCAATGGCCTCTTGCAGCCCCAGGATCTCGGAGGCCAGATCCTCTTGAGCCAGGGCACTGAGCAGGAGCCTCGGGCAGTCCCGCTCTCCTGCCACAAACTTAGAGAAGGTGTCGAGAGGCAGGGTGCCGTGCAGGCTCTGGAAGGAGTCGTCAGACTTGGTGGACATGTCGTCGGGGGAGGTCACGGAACAGGTGGACACAGACTCGGGCTTGGCCTTCGAGTTGCTATTGACTCTGGCGGGGCTGCCGCGGGCCTGGTTGCAGTAGAGGAAGCTGCGTTCCAGCGGGTCCTCGGAGCCGCTCAGGTAGTCGGCCTCCGGCGGCTCCGCGTGGGTGGACTGCGGCGTGCTGCTCAGCGGCTCTGACAGCGGGGTGCCCGCGGGCTCCGCCGAGTAGCCGCTGCCCTCGGGACTGCAGTGCTGGCTCTTGTGCTGCTCCGGGGTCCTGGACACCAGGTTCTTGACACCCTTCTTCTGGGGCACCGTAGCCTTGGAGAGCAGCAGCTGCTGGACTGTATTGGAGATGTTCTCCACCTGTGATGTCAGGGCTGTGAGGCTCTGCAGGCTGAGGTCAGACAGCAGATTCTCGGGGAGCTTATCCTTCTGCAGGGGCTTGCAGTTGCCGGCTTGAGTGTCCACAGAGCTGGTGGCATCCGTCGGGGAGGGGTTGAGCAAGGGCATGAAGTGGCTGTGGTCTGTGATGCTGGCAGCGGCAGGGAAGGTCCCCGTGCTGAGCGGCTGCTGGTTGTAGGGGAAGTTCTCCAGGTTTGGCATCAGCGGCGAGGGAGTGGAGCTGTAGGAAGGCGAGCGGCCCACGGAGCGTGCGGGCGAGTGGCTGGAGCTGGGGCTGAAGGTCTGGTAGTACTGTTCCGGAGTCCTGACCGCCGTGTCTGGCTGGCAATAGCCCGGGCCCTGCTGTCCATAGTGTTGGTACTTGGTGAGGTTTTGGTAATGGAGGGTTTCCTGGGCATGGTGCCGGCTCTGAAGGGCTTGCTGCTGCTGCTGCTGCTGTTGCTGTTGTTGCTGCTGCTGCTGCTGCTGCTGCTTCTGCTGGTCATAGCCGAGGCGGCCAGACTGATAGGCGTGAAGGTTCTGGACCCGCTGCCCCGGGGCCAGGCTAGCATTGGCGGTCAGTGGCCTGTCATGGGGTTGGGCAGATGGTGCCGTGCAACTCTTATAGGAGTGGGCTCCCTGCCCGCCACCCTGGCCGGTGGAGGAGTAGGTGGAGGAGGCGGGGAAAGACTGGGAATGCTGGGGGAAGTGGCTGCCCTGGGGGAAGGGCAGAGGAGAAGCCATGTCGTTCTGCAGTTTCTGCCTTTGGAGTTTGGGGTATGCCAGGGGTTGTTGGGGCTGCGGCAGCTGTTGCTGGACATGCAGGGAATGAGTCCGAAAGGGCAGCTGGGCGCCCTGCTCTGGATACTGCCTGCCAGGGGGCACTGCTGTCTTTTTCATCAAGTTCTCATCATATTTGCCCACCCCTCCTGGCAGGGGCTGGGGCTGGGGCGGTGGGGGCTGCGGGGCCCCCCAGGCCTGCAGGCTCTCTTCGCCTGAGTAGCGGCCCGGGTAGGGGCTGCTGTCCTGGACACTGTAGCCAGGGAAGGCCGGCCTCCCCTGCAGGCCCTGCTGTGAGGGCAGGGCTTTGCTGCCCCGCGCAGTGCTGGCAGGCGTGCCAGCACCGCCCTCGTAGCCGGGGTACGGCTGCGGGTTATAATAATCCTTGGCCAGCAGCCGCTGCCGGTCGCAGCTCAGCCCAGCCTGGCTTGGCTGCCTGTAATTCTCCAGGCGAGATGTCTCCTGTGAGGTCTGCTGGTAGTTCTGTTGTTTGCCATGGAAACCACACCTTTCTCGAAAAGACTGCATGACTCGGGCTGGTTATCTGTGAAAAGAGAAAGGGAGAGAGGGAGGGCCAGGAGGGGAGGGAGGGAGGGCAGGGGAGGGGGCAGAGAGAATCATTCAGACGGGCCATTTCCTTTGCCTCTCAAAGCTTGCCTCCCACCCCCTCCCCACAGCTCTTAATAGCCCCCCTCGCCTGAGCCTCCCCACCAGCTGTGCACATATTGACAACTTCTGTGTCAGGGAGGTGTGCTCTGTAATTCCCGCTCCGACATCGCCCACAGCTGAGCCTTGCCAAGGACAGCCATGGACGCGGGAGGGGCAAACCCAGCTAGCTGTCCAATGCCCTGTCACCCGGGGCGGCCACCCCACACCACCCTCCCCTCCAATCCCTACCCCACCACTCCCAGCCCCTCCCTGACAGCTCAAAATCATTTAGCAGAGAGATTCCTGCTCTCTTGTCCCCTGGGGCTGCTGGCTCCTGTAATCTGGTCCCAGCTTGGCGGTGTTCAAGCACGACCCAGCCAGGCTAGGACCCGGGCAGCTTTGCCCCTGCCCTGGAGCATCGTGGGCCAGCGCACAGGCGGGTGCTCACGCACACACGCACACCTCCTCTATCACTGCCATGCCATCTGGAATCTGTCTGTTCCTTCTAGCAGACATCGATTAGGGGCCGCCAAGCCACTGTAGGCATAAGACGTCCCTTTCTCTGATTCCCAGGAACACAGGACAGACACCTGCTTCCTGTTTTTGATATCAATAGGTGCACAGATAACAGCGCCCAGAGTGAGGCAACGAAGGCTGATGGGGACAGAGTCGCAGTCTCTGGCCATCCTGATCGCCCCACCCTGACGCCACAGGGTCAGGGCCAGGGCAGGCCAAGCCTAGGGTCCATCTGTTTATGATTTTTAGGGACTGGATCTTGGGAGGAGACTGTGGGGTCTAACCTGCCCCAAAGCAGGCACCTGGGTCAAGAAATGGCCCCCAGGTGGGGGCCCTTCAAGATAGAGCAACTGGTCTTCCCTCAGTGCCCAGCTAACTGTTCCCCAACTGACTGGCCAGCCTGGGCACCACAGAAGACCCTCAAATGACATGGGAGAAGCAAGAAATGTTCCAGACTCAGAAGGAATCAGGTCGAGGGGCTGACAGCGCTCAGTCCCGGGGGACTGAGAAAGAACATAGCTCAGCCAGCCCTGCAGGCCAGGTCCCTAGGAGGGCTTGGGGGACTTTCCAGTTTCTGTTCCCAAAACCAGGCTACAATAATTTCTGGGTTATAGCAGGGACCAAAAAGGAATAAAGAAACAGAAGACAGACACAGATGTGAGAAAGGAGAGGGACAGAGAGCGGTATGGTGTGCGTTTGTGTGGGGGGGGTCAGGGGGGCTTCCCCCAGCTCACTCTTCTTCTTCCTGGATCCTGCCATAGATGCCTTCCTCATTCAGTGTCAGGGGCTGGCCAGGAGGGGGACAGAGGAGGGGCTCCATTCATCTGAGCAGGGCAAGCCCAGCACAGCCCGACAGCCCCCAGGAGCCCTGTTAGCAGAGCAGGGCCACCTCCCCTGCCCTCGTAGCAGGCAGCTGGCCCTGGCTCACGGATGGAGGCTCAAGGCTGTGGAGAGGGAACCAGTGTCCCCCAAGGCAAACGCCTGCCCTACGGACTTGTCAAAGCCAGCAAGCTCCAATGCTGACTAGGGCTGCAGCCTTCCATCCACCTCCCTGTGGACTTATCACAGGCATCCTTAACAAGGAGACACGCGCCCGCCCTTCTGACCCACTTCAATCCCATCCCTGGTGGCTTGGATCAAACATTACAGGAGGTGCCTGCTGCCACAAGCCAACCCAGAGGCGCTGGTGACGGCATGGGGTTCCAGCCTGGCTGCTCCCCACTAGCTGGACAGCCCTGTGTTCCTGACCTGATCTCTTCAGGGAAGGGCATGGGCCAGACTGCTACAGGGCCGCCCAGGTGGGTAGCCCCTTCTGTTCCCAGGTGGACACACACAGACCCTGTTGCTTTGGTCCCTTTGCTCGGGGTGCCCTGAGCAGGCCGGGAGGGTCAGTGGTGACCCGGGCCCAATGGCTGGCTGCACCAGGGCAGAAGACACTCGCCCGTACTCCCTGCCCTCCAGGCCGTGTTTATGAGCCCAGAATGCACAAACCCAGGCCCACTCAGAAGGCTGCGCCTCATATATCTGCACAAATTACATTTCGGCTTTTATTAGTCCCAGATCGCTCTCATTTCCTGCTGAGTGTCCTGTGGATATCATTAACATTTCTACAGCTTTTAAATTTTTTTATTTTTTTCACATTCTCCAAAATGCATTACCAGAAACATTATTTAAAAAGAGAGAGTGCTATGACCAGCGTCCCCCCCACCCTGTTTAATCAGTCCAGCTGCTGCGTCTTTTAATTTAGCCGAGCTGTATTACAGGCGGGTTTCCCAATACACACGAGCAGCTGGATGCAGTGAAAGCATCTATCTCTAAGAAAAGACAGTTCAATTAAAATACGAGAAGCCCAGTGCCTGATGGAGAATGCAGGCAAAAATGCTCACCCCAACACCACCCTCCAACCCCAGGTGGAGGGAGAGAGGGAGGGCTGCAGGAACAAAGGCATGGCATCAATGCTGCCTCTCAGAGCCAAGGAGGTCCGCCAGCTCTGCCAGGAGAAAAATGGGGTGCTGCCTCTTTAAGAGCTGCCTCAGACCTGCCAAGGGCTCTGTTGTTATTAATTATTATGATTATGATTACTTTTCAAGAGCACTAGGAAAGGACACAGAGGGGAGAGGTGGGCAGCATCAAGAGAGGAGGGGCAGAAAGATCCCTGTTGGTGAAGGGAGACCTTTGAACCCCGGGAAAGGGAGGAGGGGGGGACATATTGAGGGTTTGGCCTCTGTGGGTTCAGCTGGAGGGATCAGGGAAGGGCACCCCCTAATGCACTCTCACTGGGCTCCCTATCCCGGCTTCCCCCACCTGTGTCTTCTCCCAGGCACATGGTCAGGGCCTAGGGCTAAAGTTCTTGTCAAACTGGGAAGAGGGAGAGAAGGAAAAGGAGGGAGGAAGGTGGAAGGTAGGCAGTCTTGCACATCCTCTAGGCATAGATGGGTCAGGACTGCTCCCTGTGACAACCCCTGGAGCTGCTGTCCCCAGGCCACTGGGAGGAGGGGCAGGTCAGGCTTAGGGAGTGACATGCGCTCAGGGCCACACAGCACAAGGCAGTTTTCAGGGCCGCAGCCCTCGCACTAAGCTTCTCTTCCTTAACACAGCAGTGAGGCTTGCAGCTCCTCCCCCATCATCGAGTCATGAATAGGAGCGGAACAGAGGGCAGAAGACCCCAGGCCTCAGGCCCTCTCATGCAAGGCTTTTGGCATGGGGGTGAACCGGGTTCAGCCCTTTTTTCCCATTAAAGACCCCAGTTCTATCTACCCAGCAAAGGCACTAAAGGGCCATCACGGGCTGCTGGTTGCTGACTGCGCAGGTTTTCTCATGGATGCTCTGATTATTCTGACCATTTATATAAAAGGGTGGGTTTAGAGGGCCCAACACCAGGGCAGAGTCCACTCACAGTGAAGTTCCTTTGCTGCATGCCTATAGCAGTGCGGTGACCAGACCTTGTGTGGACATCCCTCACCTGGACCTCACACGGAGAACTGCCATTTCAAGGTGTGTCAGCAAGAAGGTGCTTTCAGGAAAGGCGAGGGGTGCAGGCAGCTCACACTTCTCAGGTCCCTTCTGCTACCTGTGAGGCCCTGAGTCAGGTAGGCCCCCCCTGGTTCAAGGATCCAGGGGCAATGGTGGCCACTGGCTACCTGCTGTCATCATGGTAACTACTGTCCTGTGGGCAGCCTCAGAGAGAGGTCATTGGGCCCAGAGCCTCTTTGGTCGCCAGGTCAGGGTTAGGGCCATGAAGCTTCTGCCATGCTCATGGCGGCCCCGATGGAGGCCAGTTGGAGGCAATGCCTGGAAGTTTCTTCTCAGAGAGACGTTGCTGGTGGGAGAAAGGAAAGGGGGGAGGTGGAAAGGGACAGAGACAGAGATGGGAAAGGGAAGGGAGAAAGAAGAGTATGTATGTGGGTGTGTGTTTGTGTGTGTGTGTTTGTGTGTGAGAGAGAGACACACACAGAGACAGAGAGAGACAGACAGAGAGAGAGAGAGAGACCTGCCAGACAGTGAATCAGATGCAGCAGTTCTAAGGCCACAGGTTCCATCCTACCTACTTACCCAAGGTTGTTTTATGACCCAATTTCCTGATTTGTAGCTGCAGGGAAAAAAATGTGAAGACCCAACCCATTCAAGGACCTCCCCGGTGGCGCAGCGGTTGAGTGCTGGGCTGCGAAGCTGCCCGCGGCCTCTGCAGCGCCGGTTCGATTCCCGGCTGCTCCCCGGCCACTGGAGGAGGATCCCACATGGCGTGCAGACCTCTCCTGCCGCCCGCTGCTCCCCTCAGCAGTGTACTTCGGTCCTTCTGCCTGCTCTGCTCCCTGCTCTGGCTCTGGTGAATTCTCTCACCCTCCCGCGCTTCTGACTGTACCCAGTGCTTGTATAAATAAATAAATCTTAAAAAAAAAAAAAAAAAAAAGGAAAGAAAGACCCAACCCATTCAAGGCTTGGAAACAAGGAAGAAGGGGAACGTTTCCTCCGTCAGGAAGCTGGGGTTGGGGGGGTCAGGGATTATATGTCCAGGGAGTAGTGGAGAGGGGACCACCTTCAGGTCTCTCCATCTGTTGTGGGTGATAAATAATAAATATGAATCCTTGATTAAAATGATACATCATTAGCCAGATTTACTGCTGTCCTATCTATTTAAATCCTAAGGGCCTGGCTTGAATGCAGGGAAGGAATGAATTTCCAAGGAGTCTATAAGACAAGACAGCCTGGGGCGCACAGGCTCTGGGTCAGGTAGGGTCCCTGGGCCAGGGGCTAGTAGTGAGGACAGGCTGAGTCAGCTGGGAGAGGCCTGCTTGGGGCAAAAGGGGGCTCTTTCTGGGATATAAAGAATTCCAGAGAACAAGGCAGCCCCCAACCTAAAGTATGGTTTCTTGAGGCCAC